AAATATTAAAAGATTAACAAGAGATCTCTATAATTAGCTATCTTAGATAGATGATAAAACTTATATTAAAACAAAATGAAATTACTGCACACATGAACAACATATTGCCAAAAAACACTATTCCTTTCTAAACATGAGATCAGCATACTGATGATACAAAAAAAGGCTAGAATACTTTCAGAAATAAACTTTATTGCTTCATCTTCGAAAAATTTCTAACACTTACAGAATCAGGGAAGTACCTCCTAATTCTGTCGGGTGAAGTTCTTTTTCGTAGACCGATAATTTCACCATGAAAACATAAAACACGAAAGACAAACAATATATCATTTGAAAGAGGAGAATCTGGAGAATCCATATATGCAAAAATATCTTTGATCGTATGTAAAATAGTCTCGTACTAGTTAAAACAAAAGGTGGTAAAATTTTCCGACAGAATTAGGAAAATGTACTGTACTGTAAGGGATACCCATAAAAGTACGCTCACTGAGCAAGCACTGGTATGGATACCCACACATGTAATTTTACTGAGGAAAACTCTACATGATACCCTACATTTGTCGCGTTCTGCGTAGCGACCGTTCATTCACCGTTTTCTTTTTCGCGCGCGGCTTCGTATAAACAACTGAGCAAAACAGAAGAAATTAATCTGTTTTCATACTGATTTTTTCTATATTATTTCTTCACTATTTCTTAGTCGAGAGCTTTCCGATCTTGATCGTAGATTAAGAGCGGACTATCCTGAGGTGGTCTCATGGATACTTGGCCAACTCAAGTTCAGCCATATCTCGATATTTGACCTGTTGAGTTTTCGGAATTGAAAAAATTAAATATAATAAAATTGAAAAAAATGTAATAAATCACTTTGAGAGAAAAAAATGCAAAAAAGTGAAAGGTCAGGTTCGATCCTGAAGATACTGAAATTTTTGTAGTAGGGTAGCTAGAAATACTGCACAACAGTACCCAATTGAGTATCTGATCAGTATCTTCAAGTACCCAGTTACTACACATTTTGTAGCAGGGTACCTGCCAAAGTATCTATAAGTACTTTGGTACCCAAAAATTCCTGTGACATATTGGTAACAGAGTACTTTTTCAGGTACCCTTAACTCAGTATATTCTCTAGGGCTGGCACCATGATATACTGAGTCAATTGAATATTTCTTTATCAAAATGATCAGCGCAACGAGCTCTAGAAATATCTACAGACAAAAAAGTCTTCTGAGAGATTTGTGTTTTTTGCAGTTGGCTACCCATGGAAGTGTCCACCAAAAATACGATTTGTAAGTATTTTGTCATTGGCATATAGATCAGAAATCTCGTGATATTTATTCTATATCCGAATGTTAAAATCTAAAAGTTTTTCAATTTTTGGTTGTTCATCGGTAATATAGCTTCGAAGTGTCCTCTGTCAAATACTATATAAATGACAACTCTTCGTTGTTAGTTAGTACGTTTATTTAATCCATTGTTCGAAATTCTTAGCAGCAAAAATCGTGTTGCGATTATTCTTTGTGTACGAAATTCTCCTAGTGATAATGATTATTTTTCATTTTAAACGTGCTGAGAGCATGGATATGGATCTCTCCACGGTCAGTTTTCGATTACTTCAGCTGGAGAAAGAGTTGTGATACATAACAGGAAAATTTGTTTTTCGTTTTTGTCAAAATCAATTTTTACACACAAAAAAAGTGCAGAATCACCTCCATTTCCTCAACATAGTACGTTCGATCGAGCTGAAACTTTTTTTTACAGGCACTAGACACTGTTTATGCTGCCTAATTTTCTGTTGTTTTGAAAAATATGGTACCGATAGTTTTTCGTAGATTTTACAAAAAATGCTCTAGTAAAAAGAACATGTATTTTTCGAGACATACTCAGTATTTCGATCTTTCTATTCGAATGGAAGGAGATAAAAAGAAACCAAAAAACAATAGTCACTCCAAACAGCATCTAGTATCTATAAAAAAGAATTCAATTCTATTGGACGTATTGCGGCTCAGAAAGCGGGGTAATTTTTAGCCTTTGCAACCCAGATATTTTCTATAAGAACCTATTTGGAACTTTGAAGTCTATGACAACTTTTTCTCTACTCATCGAGATTTATTTGCCCTGAAATTTTCAAAGAGTTCTGATGAGTTAATCTTTAGAAACTCCAGAAAGAAGGGAATCTCCTTAATGTATATTGTTCAGTTTTTGTCTACCAAATAAATTTGATATATATCATCTGAGATACTTTGAATGAGAACACATTACATGATAAATCTAATGGTCATACAAATTCATAATTAGTGTTCTATTTATCTTCGCATATTTCAGTTCATTAAAACATTTTTCTAAAGACTGTTGAATTATTCAGGATTAGTTCTGCCTACGTATTATTAGCAGATTATAGGAAGTTCTTTTTTTCAGTTGAGCAGATGGTTCGATCCCATTTCTGACTTCAATTATACAATTTATAAACATATCCAAAGGTCAATTGTCGTACCGTACTAACTCTTTCAAATAGTATTTCATATTATCGATAAAATATTCACTTATCACTTATTGATCTATAGTTGAAAATCAACAATATAAAAATCTTTTGCATATGCAGTAAAACCTCCGTTAGTGAACACCTCTATATAATGAACATCTCCTACGTGAACGCATATCTCGGATCCATTCCGATCAACTTTGGCTGTAAACAAACCTCTATATAGTGAACACTTCCCAACTCTGAACAATGAACATTTTTATTGGTCCTTTCAGCAAAGAAAAACTTCTATATAGTGAACACACAAGAAACAACATATGCATGTGTGTATGAAAAGAGAAAAAGAGCCAACGCAATGTGCACTCTGAAGTGGTGCTAGGCCAATTCGTTGTACGCAGAAAATAAAATGAACAATACAAATCAATAGTCCGTGACGAATTGACCGGCTAACTCTGAAGCAATAGTGCACTTGTCTATTTGTCAGCGTAAAATGACGCCAAGACTTTCGCTTTCAATGAGTGGAACGAAGCTATCAATAATCTGTTCATAATGGATGGAGAGCCCGACAATAGCAATAATAACAAGAAAGACGACGACATGTCGACTGAGACGTCGACCAAGCTTATCGAGGTAATGGAGATGGTCAGGCGATTTGCACCTAATAGTTGCAACTCAGCAACCACAGCTGCATTCTCTCATCGCGCAACTCAACTCGTAGCTCATTCAATTCTAAAGTTGACAAATAAAAGAAAATATAGATGCTATATTTTGAAATAATTTTTATAGTTTAGTGTCATACTCCCTTGATTTTGTTGATGAATTAATAAAATGTTTCAAATAATAAAGTTTATAGAACATACGGTAGCAAAATTGGAAGAGAATGTACTTTAATATATACAAGTTGAAATTAAAATACATCGATATTAATTCATTTTTTTCTCATAGGTGCAATTGACAATCATCCGAATAAATACAAAGAATATAATTTTCTATTAATAAGCAATAAAAAGAGGGAATATAATTCTCTCAAGATGATTATTACGCTTTATTGAGATCATTGATTTTTAGTTTAATGACACTCATATTATGCATAATTAATTCTACTGTTTTGGCATTCACATAGAAATAAGAAAATGGTACTTCATTCTGTCGCAAGTTATCGGCGAAGCTCGCTGTTTAGTTGAAAGAAAACAAAAAAAAAACAGGTCCATTGGTTATTTTGAAACCATAATATCTAATTTTCTATCCTTGTTGGATCAAGTGATCGTTACAAGAAAGATGCAATGTCAAAAACGAACTGTCTTCCTATTATGGTTATGATTTATAAAAATCTTGAGATGATCCATCTGAAAAAGTTGGTATAGAAGTAAAGCCTGTCAGATCCGAAAAAATTTAGATCTGATAGATTCTATTTTAAAAAAAAAGTGGTGTCATCTTATCTGCTTGGTAATCTGTACGAATCAGACAGATAATTATGCTATTTCTATGAGTAACAGCAATAAAAAATTGTATGGCTACGCTATGTAAACTTCGTTCTTTTTATTCACACCCATTATTTACCAACCTTCTTTCTTCTTTCATTTTAACTTCAAGCAAATGAAATAATCAAACAGTGAATTGTGCACATTCATGATTGTTTCATTGTTTTTTTTTCTACTAATTTTATTTTTCATTATTTTGAATTGGTTTGTATATGGGCTTCGTTTGATAAATTTTTTTGAATAAATAAATAGCATAAATTGTATATTTGTATTATGAGGTTTTTTTCATACTTTTTATTTCCATAGACTCATGCAAGGTAATAATTATCAAGGATGAAACCCAAAAGATTTATCTTCTTATTTTTTTATAAAGAGAAATGAATAGTATTCGTTATATTTTATCGTAATCTTTTATATACAAGTAAACATAAACATGAGAACATCCAATGTTTATCTATCCACAATTACGTATTTTTTACAAGTACAAAATTTTTTCTATGCTTCATATTTTTTTCTTTCTCTGTTTCTAACCAGTTGTGTTGGTGTATGATCATCATCGTTACCTTTTTTTCTTTACTACTCTTAACGAAACTTCTTCACTCGAATTCTGTAACACATACAATATAGTTTTAAAATTGCATACTCATTCATTCTCTCACTCGTTCTTTCTCTCCTTTAAATCAATATTGACTAAGAAATAATGTTGTTAAAATACATTTTATAGCAGTACCCTATCAACGCACAGGTTGTTGCTCGCCCTGAAGGCTTAGACTCACAAAAAAAAAAAGAAAATTCTTTTCTTTTCTTTTCTTTTTCTTTATAACATCAAGTATAATATTCAACAGCATTTGAGATTCGTGTATAGGTACTCATTTTCATTTTTTCTATTTCAAGCAGATAAGACATCAACGTTTTTTTTTTTGTGTTGGTCGATAAGAATTCTATTAGATAAAACTATGAAAGTGACTTGCTTAGCGCGTTTTGAATCGAGTAAAATTCTTATATACTTTTAGCTGCATTTATGTATTGTTATAGAATTACAAATGCTGCCAACACAAGAAAATATAGCCATACAAACGGATATATTACCAACACAAAATATAGGACATCTAGATCAAAATCAACCACAAGTGTACTCGTTACTATCTGATTCAAAGAGTCCTTCATCAATAAAAAAGCCTCGACGAAAAAAAACGACGAAATTAGAAGAAACTATTCCTGTGATGCTTAATCCACAGATAACAAGAACGCCTACCGGCATTACTTTTGGTGCACCTTATCATCATCATCATCATCATCATTCGATGACATTACCAGAATCTATACCGTCCTTCGTATCCGCACCTCTTATAAATGGTCATACGCTTCCTTTTAGACTTTTGATAGAACATGATTCATATGATGCAAATAATAATATCAATCATAATGAAATTTCATCACTTTCTATGTCTTTAAATTCTTCAGTATCAGTTCAAACTCAACAAAGTCCTCCATGGTCAAATGATTCTGTGCGAGTCATTAATTCGAATTCGATGTCACAAATGATCGCGGAATCACAGCTTGTTGGATTAAACCGAATATTAAACAATAAAATTGATGAGAGAACAGTATCAATGTGTTCAACACAGCAAAATGAATATAAATATCTTAGCCCATCATTTACGTATAGTCGTCAAGAGTCCCCAATTAGTCACTTCCACCCTATTCCATCCTCGTTATCTTCCACACATGTATCTGCTGTTGCACCTACAAAACCAAAGAACAGTAAGATAAAAACATCTCAAAAATATATGTAATATAAAACATTTTCTTATTTCATTAAGAGCACCCAAAAAGACTAGATTCCCGTAGTCCTATCGAACAGCTACATTCTACACAACAAATCTCTCAATGTCCAACTACTTTTACACAGTCTACGGTTTCAAATGGCTTGCCATCTATAATACCAACATCTGTAACTGTAACGCCGATTAATTCTGATGAACCTCCACTTTCCATGGACATATCAATGACAACAAATTTCATACCATTGACACCACCTGCTTCAATAAGTTCAATAAAATCTCCACCGACTAACATTAAGAATGAGTATTCATTGATACCAATTCAAAAAAATTTATTATCACAGACTACAAATAATACTACTGACGTAAACTCAATATCAAGACAATATTTTCATGATCAAAGATATTCTCAAATGCAAAACACAATTAATAATTCAAATACGAATAATTTGCCATACAATTTACAGCGTTTATTAGTTGCTGCTAATCAACAATACTGTATGGTTCATTCTGACTTGATACCTACAAACATTCTACCATTGACATGTGCTTCTATTTTACCTGGAACTATCGCTACTACTCCTTCAATATTAATGGCATCTGACATAAAAAAGAAAAGGAAAAGATGTGTTCGAAAACCTAAAGTTATGCAAAGTCCTATAGGGGAAATTTCAACACATGAACAATCTTTGACTTCTAAATCATTAACAGCAGCTGTATCTACTACTAAAGAAAGAAAACATAAAAAATCAAGTAAGAAAGATATTCGCCCAAAAAAACAATTACAACGTCTTACACGTCGAAATCGATTGGCTGTTCTCAAGTTCATGATGCAAAAGCGAAAACAACAAAAACAAGAACGCATATCAATACAAAAACTTCCTGATATCAAAACACAACAAGTTGTACCGAAATTGATCAGCACTCAGACGGTGAATTCAGACAAAATTGAGCCACATTTACCAGATATTATTGCACCAAGTTTGAAAATTTCCTTTGGTGCAAGTCAAAACATTGAATCGATTTCTCTTTATTATCATCGCCGGCGTAAACCTGATATTATCAATAAAAGTTTTTCGAATTCATTGACTAACAGTGACAATAAGCTGAGTTTATTGATTGAAGCAGTCGAACTCATCGAAACCTTGCATGGCAACTCAAAACACGTACTATCTTCAGATAAATGAATAATGCAATAGTAAGAAAACTTATCCATAGTTTTTAATGGTTCAAATTTTGTTTGACCTTAAATCAAGAAAATTGTATGTCCTGTGTGCACATTTCACAGAATCAAAAAACAAATAATTATCTTTCATATTTTGTGATCGTAGAGTTTTAATTAGATTTAATTTATTTCGATGATGAATATCGATTTTGTTGGATCAACAACTAAACTTTGTACAATTTCCATCAGTCATAGAGAGTACTGAAAGATCGTGATTCAATTGAACTTGTATACTAAAGAAGCAATGTTTATGGATATACATAAATTCGAAAATAGAAAAAAACACATCAAAATATGTTTAAAAAAACCATGAAAAAAAATCTGTTTTGAAATATTATATCAAACGCTTAAGACGAAACGAACTGCAATTAACATCTTATGTATCATCTATGTAGAATAGCAGATGAACAAAATAACCAGAAAATATATCATTGACGAATACGGTATGCAAGTCTAAAAGGATCGATGAATAATTTTAAGCTCGACTATTGTGATTTCTAAAAATGATATAAGTTTTGCGTTATCAAGCAGAATAGTGTTGTCAAAATTTGAAAGCATAATATTTCATAGAATAGTAGTTCTCCTGCGGATCAGATCAGCTGAGTTCATATGTTATTCATAGGTGCAAGCCTCGCACATGAAAAAAAATTAATTCGGCACGAGAGATTTCATTATGTGACTTTACTGACATATACACTTTTTATTTTTGAGACTTTCCTGAAGAAGCTTTTGGTTTCTGATAAAATTGTTCTTGCAAATTTTCATTCAAAGTAGATCTTTATTGAAGACTTATATCCCTCAAACAACCTTTCTACCAACGAAAAAATGACTGCAAATCGTATTTTTGGTGCAAATTTTGATAGGAGCAAGATAGAGAGCTGCAGTTTTCACTGTGAGAAAGAGGAGATGAAGACGCATCGAACTATATATTATAAGTTTTTCTAATATGCTTTGTGAGACTTTTAAAATCAATTTTCTAAAAAACCTAGCGGAAAAGTGGTTTTTATCAAAAAGGAAAAAGCAAAAAAGTGAATTTTTTTCATAGCAATTGCTAGACGAATCGGCTTAGAGTTTCGACTATAGTACCTATAGCTCCTGAACTATTGAAGCTAAAAATCTGAGCCCTGCTCAGTTTAATAGATCTTTAATTGGCAATTTCAATGCACACCAGATGATCTAAAATTTACTGTAGTCACCTGTCGAGTGCGTTGTTTTTCAAAAAGCTTATTTGAAAACCGTAGAAAAACTAGGTCAAAAAGCCTGTAATATACGATTCGACGCGTCTTTATCTCCTCTTCCCAACGGTGAAAACCGAAGCTCCCTTTCTTGTTTCTATCAAAAGTTACACCAATAATACGATTTGCTGCAGTCATGTTTTCGTTGATAGTTTAGTAAATTTCTATAGCGTAGCCAATTTAGAATGGCAGTTCATACTTGCATAAGCTTTCCTTAGCGTGTAAGCCTTTTCGTACTACGGAAGATTTTAATGCCGAAGAAGTCATGCTTTGTGGGAGTCGACTTTCTCGAATTGTAGTAAATAGGTCACAAATGGTAGGAACTGACCAAAAAATCCGTATTGCCCTGGTGGCCTGTTAGATGCCATTCACGATGAAGACTAGTAAGAAATAACAAGCTTCTAGGTTTCGAGGCTTCAACACTAGAGACTTCAAAATTTCGGGAAAATTCATAAATCTCTAAAGACTTTCGTGGCACTTTGTCGAACTTCAGAAGACGTCAAAACTGACGTTGCCTCCGGTTTTCTCTAGGATGAATAACGAGGCCTTTACGAAATCACTTACAAACTATCATATGTACATCGTTCTTACATCGTTTCTTGAAAACCTCTCAAGAATACATGCTCATATTCTGAGCGCAAGCCAAGTGGGTTAGTATATCAAGCTAAAGCACCATACAGTGGCATATAGTTAACGGACTCTAAAGGATTTTATACCATACTATTGAGCGTACGGCATAAAAGTGTCTCTAGGAGGTGCAACATGGTGCCCAGTTTCTTCCGCTCTTTTCAGGTCCACAATGTTTCTGTTTATTATATTGAGATTTCATTAGTCTCTTTCCGCTGCTTAATCCGTGTGCCCAAGGCTGGAACCGGTTGAGAAAACATAAATCGGTCCGGCCGGTTAGAATCGCATGTCTAACTAGTGAAATTTTCGTGAAAACCGGTTAAAAGTCGGCGAAAAGATGACACATTTTTTTGAAAAACGATTTTTAGAAAAAACGATCCCACAAATGAAATAGTTTAGGAGCACCCGTAAAAGACACTCATCATGAGAAATCTTTTCAAAGAGAAGCTTAGAACAAATGATTAAAATAACATATGTTTTGAGCAGTTTTTTACGCATTCTGACAGAAAAATATGTGACACCTAAGTTTTTATGACCAAAAACAGGGTTAACACAGAAGATTTTTCAAAACTTTCAATCGATGAAATTCCGATCGCTACCGGACCGACCCGGTCCGGCTCTGCGTGGATCCATAGCATTTGTCAAGCCATTTTTGGTGCTACTATGTGCTTAGTAAAAGATATGTCTCTATTACCTTTTCTCATAGCCCACATTGGCTTTCTTATGAGTTGGCTGCAACAAATTCCATTTCTGTTTATTTACCTTTCAACTACCGTTATTCTGTAATCCGTGCGTCGTTCGGATCAATACAGATACTCTTTGTAGTTTCACCATCCAGACTTAGGTCAAGCCATCCACTATCTAAATGACCGAATACAATTTATTACAATGTAACAGAACGTGAAAATATTGACGATAGCAAAATCAATGTGAGTCTATCATCAATATAAGCACAGACTGTAAAGTAAATCGCCACAGCAGAGCGGCTACGTTGTCCAACACGTATTCATAAAGTACTATATTCAAACTTCGGTAGCATCATCCATAGAATAACCCTGCGCGAGTCACTAACGACTGATTGTCTCGGATCATCCATTCGATATCATGCTGACTATGTAGAAGCACACATTTGCTCTTGTGGCTAGTATGAGGCTAGTTGGTGTACATGGGAGAACTCAAGAAGTCGAGCACAAGAATTCTGAGTTAGGCCAGCCTTCCGTACAGAGCTACAGCTAGTCGCAGTTGTAGGGAAGCTATTGGGCTATTGAATCTGTTGCTAAGCAGCACATCATACCGCAAGGTAGCCAAAAGGCAGGAGTCAAGTTCTTTGTCCTGTGTTGTAGTTATTGGCGTTGGAATAGTGGTGCTTTAAGTATCATTAGAGACACAGACATAATAATTTCGCAGTAATAAATGGCATTAATATAGTCTGTCTACCGATTCTGTAAGTATAAGTTCGGCTAGCCGTAAAAACGCCATAAGCATTAAACATACGTTTCGTTCACAGTACGAATTGAATAAGGTTATACTACCATATCTATCTACACGATGAATATGAAATGTTTGTGCCTCAATAGTTATTCTTGTTTCATAAACCTACTATGATAAGTGCAGAAGGCATAAAATTCAGATTGGCGATTTGCCAGTCGTCCAATAATCTATTTTTGAATAGGTAATGAAAATGGTCGACATTTCAGCGTACGGATTGTCCGGCTAACAGTCAAATACAGTAATTAATGTAAGGCCAACATATTTCCGAGAGCTGATTATGTCTCGTTGTAGAGTGCGCGTTATTCTGTCAGAAAATGTATTTGTTTTCATCACGGAAAGAAAAGATGGGTATGGTTTTTGGAACTTATTATTGTTGTTGTGTTATCGAAGGAAATGTTAAAAAAACAGAAGAATAGCTAAACATTAAAGTGTGGTATATATTTTGAATCTATGAAGTATGGGCTTTCTTCTGATAAAATTTTCAATTGTTTCATAACTTATCGAAAAACATAGGAAACAACTATAAACCTCATCAAGCCTAACATGAACGCTTTAGCAAAATAGGCTTTTAGGTTAGTTTACACTACAGCCTCAGAAGCATTTTTATCGGCAACTAGGAACTTTCTTTAACTTTCGATGGGCTGTGCAATGGTCGAGTCAGTTTTTACTTACGTGCTTTGTTGATGAGAAAAAAAGGTAACGCACACATGCAGCCTATTCATTACCATAGTATAGATTTTAAATTCTTTGTTTGAGAAGATCAGTTGCTCCAGTAGCATAAAGTTTGCAATGTATTCGTCAGAGTCGCTATCTTGCAAAGGTATTAGTAAGCATTATTTTTACTTAGGCAGGCGTGCCACTCTTCCAGGTTCGGTCGGAACAGACAGGTGAACCTGTGATCTGATCTTCAGAAGCTTTCCGATTCATACCTTGCCGGTGCATACGTTCAATGATAATAAATGCGCGTTGTACTTTCATCGCGTTCTTCGCAGACGTCTCGATTGCTTTTTCTAAGTTCTTTTTTGAAAAGGTGACAAATGGTTAGCTACACAGCATATGGCAGGCTAATGCCTAAGGCGATTTTGCATTATACAACTGTTGAAAGAAATAAAACAGACTTGTAGCTTCTACATATGTGAATAGACAGTTTTTGTTAGCTAGGATTTGCTTAGGATACATCAAAATGTCTAAAAAGTAGTCTAGTCGGATGTGGTGACCTCTAGATATATATTAGACCGCTGGATCAAGCTATAACATCTGCTAATAGATAACGACTGGAAACCAGCTACAATATCTCAATGTCATCAGAACTTTTTTTTTCTAAAAGCAAAAACAGAAGATAGCATTCTAATAAAATAATTCAATAAAAATTTTATCAAACAAGTTTAACTACGTAGAATAAT